TACGTAATATATATATAAAAAAAAAAAATCAAAATAAAATTGGAATAAAAACGCGGCGACAGATTATTTGATAAAAAAAAAAGAAAAAAAAATATTTCCAAATAAAGAAGCTTTTTGATTAAAAAAAGTAATACCCTTTACCCTTTATACTCTTCTCTTTATCTTTTGCTTATTTATTTGCCAGGAGATATCTCTTATTTTTTATTTTCATATTTTCAGCGTATTTAATTAACAAATTAATTTTTCTCCTTACGAGTATAAAAATAGTTTAATATTAAAATATAATAATATATTTTTGTCATACATATCATATAATTATCTATATATGTATATATATATATATATTCTCTTTTAATTCTCACACATATTTTTTGTTTGTATCATTTCTAATTTTTTTTTTTTTTTAATCACTTTAAATACAAACTTATTTTCTATTGACTATAAATAGAAATTTACAAAATATAAAAATAAAATGTTCCTAATAATCTTTACGACCAGGGGCCGGCAACATGCGGCTCTTTAGTTCCATACACAAATATTATTTATTTTATACAAAAAAAAAAAAAAAGGAAAAAACATTAAAAAATCGTTCTGAATTGATTAACGAGAATAAGGCACCGATGAATAAATAGATTAGTTTTTTTTTTTTTTTTATCAAAAAACTTTATTTATGCGAGAACTATTTATTGTTGGCAAGAAAAAATTTTGTACCTCTTTAAAAACTTTGAAATTTTGTAAATTGTAATTTTTGACTTTTCCGACTCAAAAGGTTGCCGACCCCTGTTTTCCGACTATTTTCCAATTGGATTTAGAAAGTAAAATATTTGATTCAATTGAATAGTAATGTTACTATCGTTCTATCATTAATTCGGATGCATATACATGATACATGTATTTACATGTATATATGTATGCATATACATATATGTATTGGGTAAATGACATTCATAGCGATCTCGTTGCGGTTTATATTGAGCAGATGACAATTGCTATAGGGCATTCAAATATGAAGTTCATTTACCTAGAAAATTGGTATTGCGAATGGAGTAATAGTAATGCATATGATAATGATACTCTCTTTGAACATCGTTATTTTCCCTAGTTGTAAATTAGTATAATTTAATTTGACGTTATCATCATAAACGTTAATAAAAAGTTGTCATAGTTTTTATAACATTTTCCTAATTTTCAAAAGAATTTCTTTTACGAGTAATACATACCTTTATATGCTGATTATTACAATTTTAATTCCAATTATTCGAATGTATATAAGTTGAAACATTGTAATTTGATAATTCCAAGAAATTAAGGAAGATAAAAGTAATAAAAGTTTTAGAACGCGTTGAAGATTTTCGATGAAATTAAACATGAAAGCATTTTTACTTGTGGTTACAATTATGGTAATAGTTATTTTAAGTAACTTTAAAATAGTGTCATTTTAATAACCACGAATAACCATAAACGCTCGGAAATATTCCGAAGAAATTCTTTGGTAAAAAAGGTTCACTTTGGACCGAAATTTCAGTGTCTTTCTCTTCTTCTTTTTTCGTTTTTTTTCTTTTTTTTTTCAAAAAGTCGTTGCAAAGAGAAAATAACAGTTAAGTGCATATAGCCTATTGCATACAAGTAGGTAAAGCTCGAAAACCGTAACCGTATTTTCACCGGCAGTCTGTGTTTTACCTTGCTTTACCCATCTTACGAAATATTTATATCTATGTATAAACGTAAAACAGTTTTTTGCCGTTCCCTTTCTTTTTTTCTTTTTTTTTTTTCTTCTCTTTTTCTTCTACTACTTTTTTTTTCTGTCTCTCTAAAACTTTTACCACCGTGTGTCGCTACGAATGGAGAAAAATGCTTAAAGTTCTTTTTTTCTCTCAAAGAAAAGTTTCTTTCTCTTTTGCAAAAGTTTCTTCCAAAAGCTCATAAAAAAATCTTTGAATGACGTTTCCTATTTCCCACGAATGCCCTTTTACAAACTTTTGTCTCATTTCTAAATGAACGAGTATGTATAATTTTCACATATATATTTCTTCACATTATTTTTTGATCCTACAATTAAGAACATTCCTCTTGTTACACATTGTTTCTTATAATTACGATTAAATATTTGATGATGATTTTGTTTTATTTGATATTAAAATCATATTGTTTTTTAATGTATTATTTGATATTAAGTTGAGATCGCGATAAATAATGCTCGATAACAATTTTTATTGTACTTTTTTTTGTGTTTTTAAATAATACAATTTTGTAAATTTCATTCGAATTTTTAATATATTTTATATCCGAATAAACGACATTTCATTTTGTAATTTTAATGTTCAATATTTTATATCAATGTTTGGTTTGAATTTAATCTCAATGCATTTAAAATTTAATATTTAAATTTTACTTCCAATTTTTCTTTTAAATATTGTATTTTTTTTTTTTTTTTATTTAAAATTTTTACACATGCGTAAGCACACCGATCAATTCAATATTTCGAATGAAAAACATTTATTATTACTGTATTGGTAATTTAGATTAAAAAAAAAAAAAAAATCTCGCGTTTTATATTACATTTTACAATTTATTTCAACAGAAAAAAAAAACAAAATAAAGAAAAAAGTAATATTATTTTACACAAATACTACC